AGGAGGAAAACTCACTCATAGGAGGAGTTAGGCTATTTGCATAAAAAGAGTCATTAACAGAACAGGTAGCACCCAAGTTTTCTTCAGTTTTCTTTGGCAGAAACCACAGAACAGCAAAACTTGAGGAAAAGTAAAGATGTTCTCAGGACTCTAATGTACATCTAATATTTCACTTAGCCAATAAGTGAACCATTTGAAGCTTTAAAACCGATTAAGATATTTCATTTTAGAGATGCGTAAGAGGAAGACGTAATACAACACTTTGATCACACCATGTTTTTCTTCTCCTGTTTGTATGGTGTCACCCCAGGGCGTATGGCAATGTTTCACATTTCTATTTTCTTTTCAAAGCTATGTCCCAGTTAAGAAATCCCATGGTTAGCTAATGCATGAGGAATGAGTCACTTATTGATGGGGAAAATGAGTTTATATGGGGAAAATAAGCATTATGCCTGCTGCATTAATGTTTTCAACAGTCATTACATTGCTTAGTGGAGCAGAGAGCATGAGCCTAAAAGAAGTATTAGTGCTTACTTTAGGATGAGGTTGTTCACATTAAACCAGTTTCAGGACTCCTCTACAAAGCATTCAGAATAAGTGCTTCTAGCTGGAAGGGAAGTAAGTATTTTTAGCCACTCAAGGAACCAGGTTGGAGTTTGGAGCCAGAATAATTTCTAATGATAAGTCTGAACTTCTTGTAAGCTTAGGGCCCACAGTCTTTTAACATGACAAAAATCAAGGGTGCATCACATTAATGTTTTTACTTTTCCAACAGGTAACTGCTACGGGTAAAGACCATCTTTAAAAGGGAACATGGATTTAATAAACTCAACTGAACAAAACAGTACATCAGAAGAACCTTTCAAATGGGCGACATCCAAGATTCTCATTTCCATTACCCTCTCTGTGCTGGCTCTAATGACAACGGCCATCAATTCTCTGGTGATGACTGCAATAATTGTGACAAGAAAGCTCCACCACCCCGCCAACTATCTCATCTGCTCTCTTGCAGTGACTGACTTCCTTGTGGCAGTGCTGGTGATGCCCTTCAGCATTGTCTACATCGTGAAGGAGACCTGGATCATGGGCCAGGTGGTGTGTGACATTTGGCTGAGCGTGGACATCACGTGCTGCACTTGTTCCATCCTGCACCTCTCCGCCATTGCTTTGGACCGGTACCGAGCGATCACGGATGCCGTGGAATACGCCCGGAAAAGGACACCTAAGCACGCTGGCATCATGATAGCAGTTGTATGGATCATATCCATTTTTATCTCCATGCCACCTTTGTTTTGGAGGCACCAGACAACCAGCAGGGAGGACGAATGCATCATCAAACACGACCACATCGTTTTCACCATTTACTCCACGTTTGGCGCCTTCTACATCCCGCTGGCCTTGATCCTGATCCTGTACTACAAGATCTACAAAGCAGCAAAGACATTTCACAGGAGAAGCGTCAGCCGGATCGTGAGGGAGGAGGGCGTGAACGGACAAGTCCTTTTGGACGCGGGTGAAAGAAGCACCAAATCAGCTTCAATGCCCAGCACAACAGAGAAGACCTCAGATCCCCTGGTGAGCTCTGATAAAATCAACATCACCCTACGAAGTCCCAGGTCTGAATCCAAGCACGAGAAGTCCTGGAAAAAACAGAGAATCTCCAGCACGAGAGAGCGAAAGGCAGCAACGACGCTGGGTTTGATCCTGGGGGCATTTGTGATCTGCTGGCTCCCATTTTTTGTAAAAGAAGTAGTTGTTAATACCTGTGAAACGTGTCACATCTCAGAGGACATGTCTAATTTCCTGGCATGGCTGGGATATATAAACTCCCTTATTAACCCTTTAATCTACACCATCTTTAATGAAGATTTCAAGAAAGCCTTCCAGAAGCTTGTACGGTGCGGGCAATACCTTTAAGAGCTTTTGTTCATATAAGAGAACACATTCATTGTTTTTTAACCTGTATAAATTTATATAACTGAGATGGCATTTGTTGTATTTAAGGCAAAGCACCAGGACTCTGTATTTGCATTATACTGACTTTTTTTGTATAGGTAATATTGGGAGCATTAATTGCCCAAGTTTTAAAGAGATGGATCATCTGGGATTGGTTTTGCTCTAGAAAAAGAGGTAGCTCTGATCCAGTTGGGATTTGCACAGCTGCCTAGCTTGAAGCATAAGGTATTACCTTAAATATGAAGGAAATATGCACTTGAAGTAGATGAAGAAACAAAACTTTTTTAAAAGTAACCCTCAGTCATCAATGAAATGTTAAGTAAAACAAAACACACATTTTAAACCCTACTGATATAAGATAGAAAATATACCATATAATGACCACATGATTTTAACAGTCTGGCACAGGCCTGCAGCATAGAGCCAAGCCATTCTCAGCCAAGGGTAGTAGCTTTAAATATATCTACCATCATGCTAAGTCAGTGAGCTGCAGCTCTGCCTTGCTCCACAACCCAGCAGCAGGCAAGGGGCTCTCAGCACCCCAGCAGCAGGCAAGGGGCTCTCATGGCTTACCAGTTTCATAGCAAGCCAGTGTTGGGAGCCCCCTGCCACTGCACACCCACAGAAGATGTGAGCATAACACCGAGGGAAACAGCCAAACATCTGGGGCTCCTCCAGTGAGCTGGTACACGGAGTGCCTGGTGCTCTGAGACACCACCTGTGAGGGAAAGGGAAGGTTCATAAAGAGCAGCTGGTTCTCCTTGGGCAGATATTAGAGGGGAGAGAAGCAGGAGACAAGGAGACACTCCTTTCTCCATGTCCTCACACCAGGCCAGGCACAGAGCCTGTGACCTGCAGCACCAACCCAGGCACAGCTCATGCCAGGGCTGAGCACTGCTGACAGAGGGTGGCTCAGTATGGTTTGAAGGACTGGGGCAACTCCAGCTCAGCATGTTCAGCCCTCCATCCTCAGAAGCCTGATGCCCCTGAGCCTCTTCTCAACTGCCCCAAGCACCAGGGCTGTGCTGCCTTCCCAAGCAAGTGAGAAAGCACCACAGTGCTGGCAGCGTGGGTGTCTGGAAAAGGCTGTGCAGCACCTTCTGCAGCAGGGGAAGAGGAAGTGACCGCAGTATGCACTGCACACCTGGGCAGGGAATCCTGTGGGATGCTCACCTCTAAACTCCTCCTTCCTCCAGAGCATCCATCCACATCCCCATTCCCAGCAGAGTTAACAAGGCATTACAGAAACTCCAGCCCACCCTAAGTTACTTAGTCAAATATGACCTCTGTGAACAAATCCCTTCCAAGGCCTGAAAGATGGCAGCTTGGCCAATCCTGACCAACATGCTCTAGATGCCAAGCCATGAAGCTGTTAAGAGCCACACCAAAGCCCAGGTTTTGCACTTTTCAGGACAAACAGATTCAGGCTGTGTCACTAAGAGCCCAGATTCAAATTCTTTGTCAGACATTCAGTGCTGCCTCACAGGAACAGAGACTTGAAACTCCCTACAGGGATTACAAACCACACTGTCAGCAGCAGCAACCTCCTGCAGAGGTTCTCCAGTTTGGCACCTGGGCCACCAGCCTAGGGACACCACAAAGGAACTGAGAAATGACAGCACCATGGTCACCTTTAGGTGGGGAAAGGTGTCACTGGCCCTTGCAATTGCTCTTCCAAGAGACTTTGAGTGGTTTGTATTAGAGAAAAGAGTCACTGTCATTTGTCTCTCCCCCTCTCATTCCTCTGTATACAAACTCTGGAGTTTGTAATAATTTTTGTGTTTTCCCTGCTGGCTACCAGCTGACACAACAGCTGTCAAAAGGGTTTCCTGCAAGATGACGAGGTTTGAAACTTGAGATACTGAACTAATTTGTTTCTGTCACTTACAGCTTACTGTATTCTGCTTCCCCATCGAGGTCCAAATGAAATGCTATTCAGAATTAGCAGAAACAGTGCATTTGCTGTTGATTTTAACACAGCCAGGGATCTAATGGAAAGCTCACTTGTCATGCCATGGAGCCCTAGCACAGCAGTGGCACAGCTAAATTTTGAAGATACTGGGATGCGATGGAGGGGAATTGGCTCACGCTCAGCGCAAGCACAAGCTCACGCTCAGCACGCTTTATTACCATTGCAGTCAGAGCACAGCCTCTGCAGCCCCCATGACCTCAGCACTGGCTGCATTATGCTGAGAGAAAAAATTGCTCTCAGCATCAGCTGTGCTCTGCTATCTCCAGAAAGAGCCATGAATTTTAGCTTTCCAAAAGGATTAGCAAATTAGCAGGAGGCAGCACAGAAAATCCCACAAAATTTTTCATTCTTGAAGGCCTCTGTTCCCACATTTCCTGAGTCACAACCCTGGGTGTCTTGGGGGAATCCATTCCTCTCCCCCTGCCTCTCCCTTTATGGCTGCTGGAGTACAGACTATATTGTTTATCCTCTTACTAGGAAGATGTTTGACAATATCTTGTGAAATCAAATTGGAAGGAAAAATAGGGGCTGCTTTTCAGGAGAAAAGATACTTAAAATACTCATTTAAATAATAATGGGTGAAGCTGAAAGAAGGAACCATATGTAGATAAACAGAAAATATCTGTCATTTATGCACTGTTAACAGTATTATACTCTGAAACTAATTAAGCTGCTAAACATTTCTCAAGATGCAGGGTGGTTTCTTCTGTACTGTTTTCACTGAGCTGTATCTGCTCACCATTCAGCACAGCGGTGGGAGAGGCAACTACAAGAAATCTGATCAAACAAGTGGGAAGTTATTCCATTAAAAGCACTTGCAGCTTGTGGACCATCATTTTTTGGTGTCTGACTGCGACTCATCAGTCGTTCCCTCACAGAACCCACTGTGCCAAACACTTCCCCACACAGCACCACACAGTATCATTTCATCCTTAGCATTCACCCATGCATGTGATGCATCCAGAAAAAATACAAGAATTCCCCTTTCAAAATGGATAGACATTAAGATGTCTGCAGGATGCTGCTTTCCCTCCCCGTGAAGCACACAGGCTTCCACTGGACCTTCGCACCAGGTTCAAGGAGCACAATTTTAAGCTCTGGAGCTAAGATTTTTTTTTTTTGCAAGTAGTTCTGTGCCCTGTGAGAGTTCAGTCTCAGCAAAGAGAAAAAAAAGTGTGTCTGGTTTCCCACCTCTGCCAGAAGACTCTGAGTGTGTATTTCAGGGAAAGGGTTTACATGTCCTCCAGAGTTTGCACAGAGCTTCCTGAGTCCCTGTCACTGCTGCAGCTGCCCTCCCATTGCTGTTTGCTGCCCATCCATCAGTTACATTTATTCCAACACTCAGAGAACTGGATTTCGAGCACCTGACCCACTCCCACTTCAGCTTTCACAGAGAATTGTTCCTGAAGCAGCAGTGAACACAACATGCAGCTCAGGTGGATGGTTTTTACAAACAACAAGCAGTCAGATACACCTCGTTGTGCTGCACTCATTTCTTTGCCTTTCCTCCCTGCCAGATGCTTTACTGGTGTCCTTTCCTCCTGAGGATGGCACACCCCTACAGAGAGCTTGGGGACTCAAAAACACATTTGTTTTAGTGATGCAGTCACACTTGTTAACACATGACTGTGCCACCCAGGAACACCCACCTCATCCAAATGCGCTTTTGGCAGCCGCTGCCTTCAGCTGGCGCCTGATTGTTCTCGGTGCTGGGGAGGTGCTCGGAAATAGCTCCGTGCCAAATTGTTTTCTCCAGCAGTTACAAACTCAGCACGTTATTTCTAGGCAAGTACACATTACTACTCGACCTTTGCACGTCACATTCCCCTCGCAGAAGAGAAAAAGAAAATCACTGCTGTAGCTGCTGCTGAAAACAAAAAAAAAAAAAAAAGAACAAAAAAAAGGGCTCTTTGTAACTCTGTACACCAAAGAGTAAATCCTGCAAGAGTGAGAGGAAACCCTTGCAGCAGCCCTGTAAAGATTAGGAAGACTCCTAACGTGTCATTCCTAGTACAGGGACAGTACTACCAATAGCAGAACTGCTAAAAACTACCAGCAAGACATTGATATCTCCTTCCCTGTGAAATCCTGAAATTAATTAAACCAATTTTTTTTTTCAGATTTTTCATTGTCTACTGGAGAATCATGATCAAATTTCTTACTTCACTGCTCAATCAGGAAAGCTAAACTCTAAAAGAAACATCAACAGTTTTGTGATTTAGTATTTCTAGCCATCATAAAGTAACTCCAAAAAATTAAATCTTTGATGATACTGATCTTGGCTAAGAGGAAAGATTACAGAGAACAGAACAAACAGAAGTCAGCAGCAAGGGCTGTGAACAGCCAAGGTTACCAGCCAAATTCAAAACAGACTTTCTGGTGTCAAATATCCCACACATAATGAACACCAGCAACTCAAAGCAACTTTATATCCTCACTTTCTATCCTGACTTACCAAAGTATGAATTTAGTAAATTTCAGTTGTTTACTTCACGTTCAAGTGAGTTACTTCTTAAGTAAGAATTCTGCAACTCAGGAAAATTTCAGAAGGAAATATTTTCAGGCAAGGAAAAATTACTGTGTTTCATTTTCATTAGTCTAAGTACATCAGTACAATTAAGAATTTCAAATCCTGGTTGGGGCTGTGTAAAGTCAAAGATGCTACTTATCCAATGCTATTGCTCTTAACCCATTAATAGGTCAAACCAATTGTATCTACTCTTGTGTATAATATATTATATATAATATAGGTCTAAGATAATTTTAAATATTCTGAAGTTCTGAAGGTATTCATTGCTATGCACCAGATGGGTAGCACTAATAAAAATTAGCCTCTCTTTCCACTTTAAAGCAAGATACCTCCTGCACATGGATGATGTTTTCTCCTCACTAAATTAAGACTTTCCTTCTTCCTGCACACCCATTTATCTGAAATCCAGAGCTGTATTTCATGGTTTGGGTTTAAAGATGAAAAACACGTTTAACACTACAAAAAGCGCTAACTGCTAAGGTAATGCTAGAAGAGGGATTAATCTTCTCACTTTCAGTTTAGATCATGACTGGTGGTAGACATTTAATGCAATAGCTGGTTCTGTGCTCTGGCAGCCCTCCAAGATGCAAAAGCTGTGGTTAATTTGTATGACAGCAAGCGTCTGCTAAGCAGCTCGCTCTTGGCTAAGCCTGGTTTCCTATCGTTCACAGCACAAAGCTGCATGAAGCAGTCCACAGCCACAAAATGAAGAACCAGCCAGTTTGCACTCCAGATGTTTCTAGTCTGGCAGTCACTGGAAGATAGCTGCCCCACAAACACACACCACTAACCAATAGCAGCAAAGCTGTGCCTGCATCCACAAGAAAAAAAAAAATCTTTCACAGTCATCTACTACTCTGGAGGCAGGCTGAACTGACTCATGGCCAGGTGGGCTCAACACAGAGCAGCACTGCTCCCAGCCAGACACAAAAAGAGATCCCTTCAAGGAGAATGCCAGTGATCAGCAAAACACTGCTGAATTACCTCAACAGCTCTGGTCAATACAGGGCCTGCATCTTCTGTCATCAAAAAGCTCACCTCTGAAGCTTGAGGTGATCCATCAGCTTAGATATATGCAAAAACACCGGAATTTAAGATAAGGAAAATTCAAGCTACATATTTTCAGTTTGGGGATTTGTCTTCCAAATCTAACAGCCAGTAAACTGCAGTCATTTTGAACCCAAAACAGTTTCCCAAGCAAGATATATCCATAACAGCTAAGCAGGACTTCATTTTCACACATAAATACATGTTACTATTGGGCTGTTTCAAACCTTTTGCATAGATGGTCTCCTGCATTTTGACAAGTATTTCTTTCATCGGGTTTTCAAAGTGTGGAAGGAATACTAATTAATTAATTATCTCAGGTAGGTCTTATATAATTTTTATAGCCAGAAAACTAAAAGCTAAGGGAAGGAGGCAGCCAGCACCTCATCCTGAGGTCCTGGGGTGGAGGGGAGGTGAAAGGAGGTGAAGGGAGAGCAGGAAGACCTTTCTTAACTTCACAAGGAATCACATGCTACTGTCTGAGGGCTGAAAATGAGACCTGTGGAGCAAGGCAAATCAGGAAAGGAGAAGGAGGAGGAGAACAGGGAGAGAGAAAGACTGAGCTGTTTTCTCCTTATAGGGCTTGGCAGCCTTGAAGTAAACTTGCTTGAACTCATCACAGCTCAGATCCAGCGAACAGAAGTGCCAGTTCACTTGGGAGCTGCCTGGCACCTCCTGGAGCTGAGAGAGGGAGAGGAGGTGGTTTTGCCACCTCCATCCCACGCAGGTCAGTGCAGCGCTGCACAGCCCAGCACACGTGATCCTGCTCCAAAACTGCTGTGACAACTCTGGTCAGCACCAGCCGTGCTCAGCCAGTGAGGCTGGGGAGCTGCAAGCACGGAGATCTTGAGAGGTACGAACAGCAGAGAAAAAAAATTAGCAGTAAGAAAGGATATCTTAAAATCTTATCTATATTCCAATACCCTCCCGCCTTCTCAAAAGCCACCTCAAGCACCTGGAGAGCTGAATGGAGACTTTGTCCTTTGCTTTAGATGTGGCAAGGATAGATGGTCAGCTTGCTTTATATTTCAGAAGTAAAACTTAGACAGTCAAGCCACTACCACGTTTCCTGCTCTGCTTAGTTAAATACCCCAGTGTATGCCAATCCTCCCCAGCCCCTGCCAGCCCGGCCCTCGCCTGTGTCTCCAGCTCACTGAACATGGTGTTAAAGCACTCCATAACAATTTACTCCTGCACACCTCTCTTTCACTTGACTGGAGAAGAATAACAAAAAGCAACTGAAACACCCTCCAAGCTCTAAACCTGCAAATAGGGCATAAAATAGAAATAGAAGGAAGCAGCCTAGATTTAAGAGAAAATAAATCAAGTGACACTCCTCTGAACCACCCTTTCTATTCACCCCTCTCCACACTCTCTTCTCACCTACAACACACTGCACACTGGGAGGGAAGGGGAAAAGTTATTCCAGTAGCAGGTTTGACTTATTTTGTATAATTGGGGTAAAGAGCTCTCGTTTAAAGACCCTTCAGGGGAACGAGGCAGGCTGTGAACCTGCTTTGCCTTCTGTCATCCTCAGCTGTACAACAAAAAAAAAAAAAAAAAAAAAAAAAAAAAAAAAACCCCACCAAAGAGGAACGGGGGATTATTGGCTCAGGTGCAGACAGGGAAACAGCACAGACGAAAGAAGGAGGAAGGAGAGGTTCCCACTGAGGGCTGGGTTCTCACGGGGCAGAGCAGCTTTGCCTCAGCACCCGGACACTTAATGAGAGGGTAACCCCAGCTCCTCTCCGCGGGCAAGAAACCAGGAGTTCCCAGCCAGGGGTGGGAACTGGAGGCGATCTGGGGCTGTTCTCGCCGTGCCAGAGCCCGGAGCCGCTGGAGGCTCGCTGCAGGGCCGGGGATGCGCCGGGGATGCGCCGGGGATGCGCCGGGGATGCGCCGGGGATGCGCCGGGGATGCGCCGGGGATGCGCCGGGGATGCGCCGGGCCGCGGAGCCTTTTCCCGGGCGGGCGGGTCCCTCTAGCGGCACCTGAGCCCGGCAGCGGCCTCGGCCGAGCTCCCGGTCCCTGCCCGCGGGTCACAGCCCCTGCTCCCGGTCCCACACACCCTCCCGGCCAGGCTGGGCTCGGCTGGCTGCCAAGCCCCGCTCCCCGAGTGCCCACCATGGCACCCCGGGCCGCCCGGTCATAGGCAGCCCTGGCCGGGGAACAAACGTACCGATAAAGTGGGGAAACCATCAGCATGGCATTTCTCCTTTACCAGCAAGAATTTCAGAACCCCCCCATGTCTACCTGCACCCCTGTTCAGTAGGTTTATCAGAGAATCATACAATACCCTGAGTTGTAAAGGAACCACGAGGATCATCAAGTCCAACCATCGCGTCCCTGGCCTCGCACACTCCAACAATCCCATCATGTGCCCAACAGCTTTACCCAAGCACTTGTTGAACTCTGGCAGGCTTGGATCTGAGACCAGTTCCCTGTAGAGCCTGTTTCAGTGCACAGCCATCATCTGGATGAGGAACCTTTCCCTGATATCCAGGCCATTTTCTCCTCCTTGCACAGCTCCATGCTGTTCCCTCAGGGCTGGACACCAGAGAGAGGAGAGCTGCGTCAGCCGCTCTGCTTCCCCTCATGAGGGTGTTGAAGACCGCAATGAGGTCTCCCCTCAGCCTCCTCCGGGCTGAACAGACCAAGAGATCCCAACCATTCCTCTTACGGCTTCCCCTCCGGTCCCTTCACCATCCTCATGGCTCTCCTTTGGACATTCTCCAATGGCTCCATGCCTTTTTTATATCATGGCACACAAAAACGCCCTCAGGGCCCAAGGTAAGGCCGCACCAGTGCGGAGTGGAGGGGAACAATCACCTCCCTCGACCGGCCAGTGCTGCTGTGCCTGATGCACCACAGCATCTGCTCATTTACAGACTTGGTGCACCACACACACAAAAGGAAGAAAAATTTCAGTGAAAGGTTGATTTCCTAAGGAATCATCACTGGGAGGAGCCACTGGGCACGGAGCAGGTTGAAGGCTGGGTTGGTGAGCAAGGGAGCTGCAATAGCGCTTTCCTCTAGGTTAAAACCCCCTTAGCATGAGGCTCCTGGGACAACCAGGCGCCAGAGGCAATGGAGGTTTCCCAGAAAGAGAACATGACCTTTGCTCCCTCTCATGGCTGCTTCAAGACTGAGGTAGTGAGCAACATTTTGTGAGCTGAATGGGACTCCAGAGCATTCCAATTAAAGTTGGCAAGTCTGGGGAGTTCAGCAGGGTGTGCACGACCTCCCAAGCAAAGCTCAGAAAATACTGTCATTTGAAATGGTGTGCAGAAACACCTACGCAG